TATGCAGCGTCCTTGATTCGCAGGATGCCAATTGATCCATCAGGCCTTGTGACAGCAAAATCCCAATCGATCCGTCCGGTTTTATGACTGGGACATCAACCCGGCCATAACCTTCGATTTTGACTTCTGAGTCTCCGGCAACGAGGTAGTGTTCTTCTCCTGCCCTTGGCTTCCGTATTGACTTAAACCTAGCAAGTTCGTTGGATATATCCAATGAAGCTCCAGAATCAAGAATGGTTGACGATCGCAAGGGATACTGGTCAGCTTGCAGACAGGTGCCTAAACATGTCGGGAACGCAGCCCCTTGTGACAATGCTTGACCAACGATTCGTCGCTCCAGGCTTGACTCGGCTGATTGTCACTGGAATGAAACTTCTTTCTTTTCCTCTTCCTGCTGTTTCTGGTCTTTCTGCGCTGCTTTTCGAAGTTCAGCTACTTTGGCTTTTAGTTCCGGATCGGCAGCCAACACTTTCCTCACCAGACCTTCTAGGCGGTGATTTGCAGGTACCCCTTCAGGACGAAGTTCCGGGATAGCTGACCAACAGGAACTAAGATCATGTCGCAGCTGGCCACATGCTTCACAGCTCAGTTCTTGTCTCTTGTTGCTGTCCTGCTGGTTGTCTGAGCGCCCTCTTTTACGATCTGATTGGGATTGGCTTGCTCTTCCACCCTGATTACTCTTTCTGGTATCAGCTTGGAACGCCGTTCCCCGTCTGGCGGAGGATCTTTCTGGTTGTGCTGGGAGTGCTGAGCTGGCCCAGGTCCGTAACTTGACAGCTACGCTTCCAATCGACCATTCCTTGCTCGCATCCGTAGCGTTGGGAGGGGTGTGGATCAGAGCCCCTTGAATTGCTATTGCTGCCTCTCGTAGTCTGGCATGATCGCTAAGATTGTTGAGCTGCAATAGCTGCTGTACTCCTTGCTCAACAGCATTATTGTAATCCTTTGTCTTTAGAACAAGCACAGCTCTCATACATATAAATACCTAGTGGCACGGTCCGTGCAACTAGGCAGCAACTCTTCTGCGTGTCATGCTTAGTACATGACTCGTACCAAGCCAACAAATAGCCAACGACCACCTGCTACTTCAAGCATTCGATGTCGTGCAGCTTTCAGCAGAAAGTTCTCCCATTTCCAGATCCAGTCTGCAAAGGTTGCTGAGTCGGTGCACCTGAATGACTTGATGATCTGCTGATATTCCATCACAAGTGCGTCTGTTGCCTTAGTCTGTTCGGCATTGACGGCTACAGATAGACTATCAATCCAGCGGGGGAGATCGTGGTCTTGGTCAAGATAACGACCTAATCTCTCATCTACATAGCTGATGATAATACTTTTAGCCTTGATGAGATTCGATTTCTGCTGCTCATACTCCTTGGAGCTGTCTTTCCAATTGTCACGGGCTAGTACTGTCGTTCTGTTCTATTGATGTGCAGTTTTCGCAGCGTGGTTGTTCTCGTTGACAACCTAGAGCGCGGGTCCGGGC